AGATGTTAGAAAGCCCTCGACAGATGTTAGAAAGCCCTCGACAGATGTTAGAAAGCCCTCGACAGATGTTAGAAAGCCCATATGTGTGTGTAGTTGAACGCACCGCCAAGCTGTGTTTTAGTTTTTGCTCTCCCGACAGACGTCGCTGTTCCAGCATGTACCTGCACTTTCCCAGTTTACACGTATTTGACTACAAATGGTGCTCGCACCCAGTTTACTGCCGAGTGTAAACACCAGAAGAACCAGCAAACATCAACCCTGAACTGATCTGTCTCCATCTTCTTTAATGGGAGTTCAACTCCTTGCTGCTCTAAACCAGTTAAGTTCCTGGAGAACACCAAACCTCTCCTTTTTAACAGAAGCAATGACTAATGTGAAAACATTTAGTTTAAAAGGAGTCCAGATGTGACATCAGTTAAAAACGCTGCACATAACGAGTGGATTAAAACACTCTGAAGTTCAAATGTTCCCCCCCCCCCCCCCCCCCCCGGTTCCTAATCCGTGTCGGGGTGGGGGCTAGAGCTGCCTTTGACTGAAGACCGGGGACAGCCTGAACAGGCCTCCAGTCCATCACAGGGACACACCAAGAGACAACCGTCCACACCCCCGAGACATAAAACTGAGGGCTCCAGTTCTAATCGGTAATGATCAATAATAATTGATCGTATGGTAAATCCTTATAGTTAATTGTTGTGAGTCCTGACACTTGTTGGTGTACAAGCTGTTACTTTGGTCTCACACTTCGTGCCCCGCTGTTTATATGCAGGAGCGTCTTATTGTTTTCATAATTTTAAACATTTCTATTTTATTTTGAAAGACTTCCTGCCACAGAGTAACACTTTCCTTTGACAGAGCTGGGCGCTTGTGGCTCCCAGCCCCGCTCCCCCCCCCCGGGGGGGCAGGTGTTTGTGACAGAGAGAACGCCCTCAGGTAATCAGATGTGCAACGACTCTTGAGCATGGTTTCAAATACACATCTATAACTCCACCCTCTCCGTCATGTGACAAGAAGTCTAACCTGAATGACCAACGAGGTACTCTGGAGGACCCTCCCCCAAGACAGACGTGAAGTCATGTCTTCAGATTGTTCCCGTGTGCTTCGTGCACAGACCTGTTCGCTTGTTCAGCGATAACGGAAAACACCCGGAGGATTTCCTACGATGCAGCTTTCCTGCTAAGAGCTCGGCTGTCGAGGAGGAAACGGCTGCATCGACGTGTCCATGGTCAGGACTGGAGACGCAGCGAGTCTGGTGCATGTTTTAATAGAAGTTTTTCATTTTTCTGTGTACGGTAAATGTGTTTAAAGACCAGTATCTCATTTCAGCTTCAACAGGAGGAGGAGGAGGTGTTCCTCCTCCTCCTCCTCCTCCTGTTTCAGCTTCAACAGGAGGAGGAGGAGGTGTTCCTCCTCCTCCTCCTCCTCCTGTTTCAGCTTCAACAGGAGGAGGAGGAGGTGTTCCTCCTCCTCCTCCTCCTGTGAGCTCTGCTGAGGAGAATCACGTCCAATTTATTTAGAAAGTTCATTTAAAAACAGCTGTTGTGAACAAGTGTTGACCAATAAAATCAATGGTACTAATTTAAAGAATATTCAACACATTCTACCGGAACTATTCGACTACCGGTCACATGAGCTCGATGAGACTCTGGGTAATATTTACCGGTAAATATGTTCAGTTATGTAGGTGTTGTGTCTGGTGATGTTTAGGTCGCTCCGTGTTCATTTGAAGGTTTCATGTTGCAGCTGTGAAGCGCCACCTGCTGGCTGGTTCTTGTACTACAAGGAAGCTGCACAGCTGGAGCCGACTGGGGCACAGATCCCAAGGATGTGCAGTGGATTAGAGTTGCACTCGGGTCCAAAGAATCAGAACCGACCCAGCCATCATCTCCGAACCCGACGCGACGAATTAACAGTAATTACAGGTCGAACACGACCCCCCCATTTTTAATTAAGCTTTGACTGCTTATACCACAACTATCATGAACGGTTGGTGCCGCGTGCGGCTGAGGGGGCAGACGATCCGAGCCGAGGAGTCAAAGTGCATTAACTGCTTCCCCTGCATCCTGCTCCGACACGTCGCCCGTTTGGGTCGACCACGTGCGTCCGCCGAGCGCAGCGGCTGAAGGAACGTCCATTTGGGCCGTGATCTCTGGCAGTCGTCCGTCTGAAGCTTAACTGAACTTTTTCCTCGTTCAACCGGCCGGTCAGCGCGCGGCGGGTGTTGAATGGCAAGCCACGTTGGCATATATTGGATCATCGGCCGCGTGCGTCCCTGACACAATAAAAAGCCCGACCCAGGCGGGACCCCGGGTTACAAATGACAGGTCTACGGTGGATGCTCGCAGCTAATTAACCGGAGCGTCTCATGAACATACGATTCATCTTATATAAGTGCAGCTTAGAGACAGGTGCGTTTTAAAGACAGACAATTACAGTAATACTAGAATTAAAGGACAGTCTTCGTGTCTCTCGGTCCCTCTGGACCAGCTCAGTCTCAGAGGTGGGTGCCCCTGGTTCAACCCGACTCCACCTCACAGAACCGCACAAGGCGAACTGATGCAGAGCTCTGGTTCCTGCTGGCACCTCCAGAACCTGGACTATGAGGACTCACCGGTGTCTCTGGACTCGCGGGGGTCGGCTCTCCGTCTGAAGCGGAGTCCCGGCAGAGACTTGAGCGTGGGGAACTCTTTGCCGTGGTTGTACTCCTCGATCATGGGGGCCAGAGGGGCCCGCGGCTCCTCCAGCTCTTTGCTCCGCCTCTCACCTGTCAATCATCAGACACGTCAAAGACAAGAACATGCCCAGAGGAGACGTCTGACAGACCAGTGTCTCACCTGGTCTGTCCCGCGGCAGGTGGATGTACGGATGTTCAGCGCTCAGGCTTTTGTCCCCGGCGTCCTCCGACGTGTTCTGCGTGTCCTCGGCAGGGACCCGGCGGCTGACCTGCGTCTTCCTCAGCTTGGACTTGTGCTCGTAGTAGGACAGCTCCGCAGCGTCCATGGCGTCGTGGGAGCGGGGCTGAGCCGAGGGACACTGGTTCTGGGCGCCGTCCCAGGCCTCGGAGCGCTGCTTCTCCTCCTGGTACTGGAACAGGTGTTTGATCTGGTGGGCCATGTTCAGGAAGTCCTCCTGGGAGATCTCGCCGCTCTCCAGACGCTTGCTAGCCTGCAGAGATACGAGCGTTCAGAGACATGGGGACAGAAGGGAGGACAAAAAGGATGAGTTCTGTGGACGCACCCTCCTGAGCAGGTCCTTCTTGGAGGCGGAGTTGAGGACTTCAGGAATCTGCAGGTCAGGGTCCACGCTGAGACGATGCTTTGGGGTCCTGGGGGTGCCGGGACGGGTCGGAGTGCCGTACAGTTTGTGTCTCAGAGGACCGGTCTTGGCGCGAGCGTCCTCCAGGAGCTTCAGGCTGGACAGAAAACATTTTAGAGACAGAGCTACAGAACTGAGGTTCTGACAGGAAGTGGACTCACTGTTTGTTCTCCTCCCAGCCGCTCCTCCAGCGCTGAGGCACCTCCTTGGGCTCCTTGACCCCCCCGTCGTGTCCTCGGGGGGAGTCTCTGGACTCGGAGCGGCGGTCCTCTGCTGGCCTCTTCGGCCTCCTGCCTTCTGACTGAGTCTTTTTGAGGGCGAGTCGGTCTCGACCCAGTTTGCCGTGTTGCACGTCATCGACTCGGACCCTCCTGGGCTTCCCGGGTTTGTGGGACGGGGAGCTGCTTCGGGGCCGGCCCTTGGGCGAGCGCCTGTCCTTCCTCTTGGGGGAGGCGGTGGGGGAGCGCGAGCGAGACCGTTTCCTGGCGTGGGTTCGGGCGTTTCCTCCGGTTTTGAAGTCGGCCTTGTCTGCGGAGTCGCCTCGGTCCTGTTTGGCCACGGAGCCGTTCACCAGTCTGGACTTGGCGGTCCTCGGGGGTTCTGGTCCCCGCGGGGCCTCGTCCCGCTCCTTGTCGCTGCAGCGCTTTTTGTCCTTCACCTCGTCCTCTCTGGTCTCCGACGTTTTGTCCTGCAGCCGTTTCTTCAGCCTGGGGTCCTTCTTGGCGTCCTCGGCGGGTCTCTGAGGTTCCGCCTCCACCGGTCTGGGTTTTTGGACACTTCTGTTCAGCAGAGACGGAGACTTGGACTTGTCCTCTAACACTTCTTTCCTGGGGGGCCGGGTTTTGTCCTGCCGGGTGGATTTGTCCAAAGGTTTCCGGTCAGGAGTGACCAGAGGACTCTCTTTTTTTGCAGCTAGGGGACCGGTGCGGTTCAGACGGGGGTCTCTAGTGGAAGGTTTTGGTTCAGTCTGGGGCGGGGGGGGGATCCAGGGCCGGATCACAGGAGCGGTCTGGTTGACGGGCTTGGACAGGGAGCTGGACGCTGCAGGACTAGAGACCGTAGACGGTGGTGGTAATGCAAACCCAGCCTGTAGAAACACAACAAAAACTGTTGGGACGAGTTTAATGTCCATCAGAGGTTCTGGAGCTTCAACACAGCCAAACCAGAACCAGAACAGTCTCCGAGACTCTGACCTGTCCCATCAGTTGGGCTTTGGTCTGCTCCAGCTCCAGCTCGATCTTCTTCTGCTGGAGCTCCAGAAGCTGCTTCTGCTTGGCCAGCAGCTGCTGCCGGATCAGCTGCTCCTGGGTCAGGCTGGACTGGCTGGCGCCGGGGGTCGGTGAGGGGGCACGCACCGGCGCCGGAAGCTGGGCCGCCTGCGGAGAGGGCGGCTCCTCAGCCTGAAGAAAGAAACAAATTTCAAGCCCTGATTAAAGGTCCACCTGAGCCTGGAGTTCTGATCCGACTAGAGGAGGTCCAGAACGGTTCTGTTAGAAAACATCTGCAATAACCCCCCCATCCAAACTTACAGATGTTTACAAACGCCAACAGCCTGACCCTGACTCGTGGTTACTGTTCCTCAGTAGACACCCCGCCCCCCCGGACTCGTTAAGGCTCCCTCATACTTGGGCAGGGCGTGTCCGTGCAAAGCTCCATTTGTACGACCGTGCACGTGTTCTGTGTCACTAGGCTGTCACGATAATGTTGCTGGGCGATTAATCCTCTCAAATTATTGCGATAAACGATAATACGGTTTTAAATTTGACAATAATTAATTCAATTCAGTTTATTAATAAAGCACCAGTTCACAACAAACTTGTCTCAGGGACTTTACAGGAACATTCACATAAAGGACAGTTAGTAAAGTTCTCCAAGAATCCAGCAGACAAGATGAACCTTGGCTTCATCACAGTCTCCCATAATTAGTAATTATTGTCAAATTGAAGAAATGTTTAATTTGTTTTGAGTGCAGAACCTTTTCACAACCACCAGATGGCAGCATAAGACTGAACCGAAGGATGGATAGTGAGGGAGCGAACAGCGTGTCTAAGGAAAATGAGAGGGAGGAGCTTCGACAAGACGGGAGGGTTTTATTTTCCCTGAGGTCGATCTGTTAGCTTAGCTCGTAGCTTAGCTTCTTTTAATGTCCAAAAACACAATTTTGGACGTTAAACCAGATTTTAATGAGAAATGAGAAAGGGAGGGGTCAGTGAAGAACCGGAGTTGAATTTGTCATCGAGTGTCTTCAGTAGAAAGAGAGACAAACGATACAGCTGATAAATGAAAATGAGGTCAATCATTTTAATTTATCATGTGATTAATTGATTGATTTATTGCGACAGGCCTATGTGTCGCACAATAAACTGCCGGCGACAGACTGTTTTGTTTGTGACACCAATGTATTAAATTTCATTTCTTCATCCTTAATCTGGTTTAATTATATTTTGGCCAAAAGGCAAGCGATCTCTTCCTCCTCCGTCGACATCATGACTGAGACGGTGACAAATTAAAGAATTTATCACGAGAGAATTAAACTCAGGTCCAGCGTGGCTGCAGGAGGGTCTGGAGATTTCCTGGGGGGCTGGTCTGATGTGTGGACTGCAGGACCAGCGCTCCCCGTTTTTTATTTTTTAGAACTTTTTATTAACAACTAGGGGTGCATCGATAAATCGGCCCAAATTTCCTTAATTTTGGGAAATCGACCGAAACTTACACGAGAAAATGATTTCACCATTTTTTTTGTTTTAACAACAATTGTCTAAACTTCATTTATATTTCAGAGCACTTCATCAAGGACAGTTCAAACAAGTCTGTACTGTTTATAGGATATTGTTCAAGGGCATGTTTTTCAATAAAACATTAGAAAACTGAAGGTACATTGTGACCTTATGACACCCGACGGTGTCGCTTATAAAACAAAATCAGAATCGACAGGTCAGACTTTGTAAAAATCTGTGATTGGCCAGAAAACTGCAATCGGTGCAGCCCTAACAACATACACGGACACACCGCTGCTCCTGCGCGGCCTCTACTCAGGGCCGCCCGCAGCGCGCTCTTTTTTGCGACCTGTCAATCAACCCAGTAGGAGTGTCAGGAAATGACCTCGGCGACCTCAATTTGTCCCGAAGGTAAACGCCCCTCACCTGTGGAGCTGACCGCAGCCGCTCAGGGTGGAGTCTGAACCCTCTGAGGACGCAGTGTCCACACAGTACGCCCGAGTACATGGGAGCCTTTACTGACCAGCATCAGTAGACCCCCCCCCCCCCAACACTGACTCATTGTTACTGACCAGCATCAGTAGACACCCCCCCCCCCCC